TCATGCGAAGAGTTGACTCTTTGTAAAAGACCCTGATGCTAGGAGGGATTGGGGGCAGGAGGAGAAGGGGACGACAGAGGATTAGATGGCTGGATGGCATCACCTACTCGACGGACATGAGTTTGAGTAAACTCCGGGAGTTGGTGATGAACAGGCAGGCCTGGCGTGCTGCAATTCATGGGGTTGCAGAGAGTCGGACATGACTTAGCGACTGAACTGAACTGAACTCTATTTCTGTTTTGTAAGTAAGTTCATCTGTACCATTCTTTTAGATTCCACAAATAAGTGATATTATATGTTATTTGTCTTTGTTTGACTTACTTCACTCAGTATGACAATCTCTTGGTCCACTCATGTTGCAGAAAATGGCATTATTTCATTCTTTTTTATGGTTGAGAATAATTTTACTGTTGTCCGTAACACTGTCCAGTAGCTTTCCAGCTCACCTAGAATAATATCCAAAGGCTTTACCATGGCCTCATGCTACCTCTATGATTTTCTCCCTCTGTCACTCCATGCTATCCCCACTGGCTTTCCTACTGTTCCTCTAACATTCCAGGTTTTTACCAAGTTCAGGGTCTGTTCCCTGTGTCTGAAACTGCCCTTCCACAGAACAGCATCACTCTTCTTTTACAACCTTCAGATTTTTCCCAAGTGTCACATTCTCAAGGCCTTCCCTGGCCATATTATTTACAGTTTCAACACCCTCCTTACTCACTTCCTACCCCTTTCTGCTTTATTTTCACTCCTTAGCTAATCTCATATACATTTTACTTAAATTGTTTTACTTATTATTAGTTTCTCTCACCAAGCTGCATGAGGTCATAGGTTTGCCTATTTTCTTCACTGCTATGACCTTGATCGTAATATATGACTACTTAGGAAATACTTGTTAAATACATAAATACCTGCAAGTGCTCCTCCCTCCAACACACATACAGTTTCTGAAACCCTATATAAAGTAGCACCTTTCTCCCTACATACACACAGAGACCATTACTGAATTTCCTTACCGAGCTTTTTCCAAAAAGTTTCATTTAGCACCATTCGGGATATTACATATTCACGTATTTACTCTCTCTTCCCTTCCCTGTGGATTCTAATTTCCACGAAGGTTAGGACTGTATCCTCAGCGCCTTAGAACAGCACTTGACTCTGAGCAGGTACTCAGCTACTTCTTGGATGAATTAATGAACCAGTTCCGTCCGATGGTATTCCCTACAAGGTCACAAACTCTGTTAGTGTGGCGCTGAGCTTCCAGCACAATCTAGAGAAGCTCGCCAGTGAACTCTAAACTCGAGTCACAAACTCTGTTAGTGTGGCGCTGAGCTTCCAGCACAATCTAGAGAAGCTCGCCAGTGAACTCTAAACTCCGAATCCAGTGCCTCTTAAAGGAAAGGCAATGCCCCGTGAAGGGAACAGCAAAAACATCGGTGTTCCCCACTTCATTTCTGCCCCTAAAATTTAACCACAGAATTAACAGATCAGGCGAACGCAGAGAATAAAGCATTTAGTACATTACTGAACGTACTAAACGAAGACTCTGTAAACTGGTGTTAACGAATTTACTCGACTTTGTAGTGCTTCGGACACTGGGAAAACAAAAGCTAGTTTCTCCCAAGCGGGAGCCAGCCTTACCCAGCCAGGATCTACACCACCCCGACCGCGAGGCTCAGGATTGGTCCAGGCTCCTCAGGCCTGGCTGGGCTTCCGGCCGGCTCGTGGGAGAGGCAGTCCCGAGAGGCGCGTGGGCGGAGCGAGGCGGGGCAGCCGGGGCGTCCTCCCGCCCATCCAGCTCAGGATTGGCCGAGGCTCGGCAGGCACCACCCCGGCCAGGCGTCGGCCCGCATATGGGCGGGGTCGTCCTGTGAGGCGCGTGGGGCAGGCGGGGCTGGACCCAGGTTGGGGCTGGGCTGGGGCTTGGCTTGGCTTGGGGCTGGGTCCCGGGATGCTGCAGCTGGGCAGACCTGCGGGGTTTGAGCCGTGGCCGACGGATGGCCAACGTGCGGGTGGCGGTGAGGGTCCGGCCCCTCAGCAAGAGGTGAGTCTGGGCGGGAGGGGGCGCCTGAGGCGTCAAGTGAGCGGAAAGGAAGGCGAGGTCCCCGCCTCTCCCTTCAGTGAGTCTGGCGCGGAGAAATCAGACACAAAGTGGCCCAAGGGGCCAGCATCCGGAAACCGTAAAGGCCTGGCCGGGACAAGGCCTGGCTTGGGTTGGGTTTTCGATTAGTGCCCTGGCGGAGAGCACTTAGTGGAAAGCCTCGGGGTGGGCTGTCCTGTCCGTGTCCCCGGAGTCCCTGTGTCTCAGCAGGAATTTTGAGGGACCGCGCGTGGCTCAAGTTTTGATGCACAGGTTGAGCCTTTCTGGATACTCTGAGAAGGGCTGGGAAGTATCTCTATGTGGGGAGAGGGGTCGGCGGTCTACTGTCTCTTCTTGATGGCTCTGGAGTACCTGTAAGGACTGAGGGAGAATCGTGAGTTTCTGCGTGCATATGGGTTTCTCTGTGAAGAAGTAGAGGAAAGCAGGTTGTAAGGCATAAGAGGGAAATTGAGGCTCAGAGAGATCGTGGTTTCGTTCTGTGGGCGACTTCAGAAGTGTGAAGTAGGGGGAAGTCATTCTAAGCCCTTCCCTCAGTGTAGACAGTTCCCATTTTTTCATGTGGGAATCTGATCCTACACTCAGCTGTTGAGGTATCCAGGGTCCATAATTTCTTTCCCTTCTTACTGATTTTTCCACTCACATGTTTGGAAAGTCAGGGAAGGCTTCACAGAAGGCTTGGTGTTTGAACCCAAACGCTTTTGAAAGAGTCGTTAGTTTGCTGACAGGTGGAGGAGAAGGTGTAGAGATTTCTGTGAGAACACAGAGCGAAGGACTTAGGCTCTTAGGAAACAGAAAAGTTTAGGGCTTTTGAGGAGAGGCTGTGTGGAGGGAGGTGAGTGGTAGGAGATAAACCTGGCAGAATGTGGTTTGGGACCTGAAGGCACATACTGGAACTATTTGGGAGGTTTAAAAAATTTCCAGGACACAAGATGTCTTGAAAATTGGACAGAGCAGTCAGAAAAAGACATTGTCTCTCAGAACAAAATTCGGTTCTAGCAGAAGCAGGGCTTCCCTGGTGCCTCATATGGTAAAGAATCTGCCTGCAATGTGGGAGACTGGGGTTCGATCCTTGGGTTGGGAAGATCCCCTTGAGGAGGGCTTGGCAACTCACTCCAGTATTCTTGCCTTGAGAATCCCGTGGACAGCGGAAACTGGTGGGCTATGGTCCATGGGGTCACAAAGAGTTGGACAGAGTTCACTGAGCGACTAAGCACAGCACCACAGCACGGCAGGGTCTATGTTTGTCCTGACTTGAGGTGATTGGCTTGAAAAAGTCATACAGCTGACAGAATAATGAGAGCAGTGTGATAAGGGAAAGGAGCAAAAAAGTAGGAAAAGACAGAAGTGGTGCAATGGAAACTTCACTGGTGGTCCATTGGCTAAGACCTTGCATTCCTAATGCAAGGGGTTTGATTTCGATCCCTGGTCTGGAACTAGATCCCACATGCTACAATGAAGAGTTTACAAGAGTTTGGCAGCCACAGTAGAGAATAACGTGTCAAACAAAAGTGAAGGGAAAAGAAGGGCACAAAAGCTTATTAACTTTTTAATTTTATTTATTATTATTTTGGCTGTCCTGGGTCTTCACTAATGTGAGTGGGCTTTCTCTAGTTGCGGCCAGAGGGTTTCTCATTGAGGTGGTTTGTTATGTTTTGGAGCATGGGCTCTAGAGCGCAGGTGCAGTAGTTGTGGTGCACAGGCTTGCTGAATCTTCCCAAACCAGGAATCGAACCTGCATTGCCTGCATTGGCAGGCAGGTTCTCAACCATTGACCACCAGGGAAGTCTGAAAAGCTTATTAACTTTTAGCTCAGGTTAAGAGCCTTGAGCAGCAAGGGGTAGAAGGGCAAGACTGCAGTTACCCAGATATGAAAGGATTATAACCTGCTGAAGATTCAGGAGCCGGGATGAATAAACCCAGCATGACCCCAGCTAAGAAGTCCAAACTATTCCCCTCTTCTCACCATACTGTATTCCAGGGTTTGTTAACTTCCACCACCTTCACTGAGGCTCATCTCAATATAGGCTATTTACTGATTATGTGATTTGTCCCAGCCTTCAAAAAAGTAATCAGCACAGATTCAGTTAACAAAGTCATTGGATCTTATGTGTTACTTGGAAATAAATCTTGGAGCTCAAGCTTCCATTTTTTATTTTTCCAGATGAGAAAATGGTCTTGTTAAAGATCTAAAAGTAGATAGAGCCAAGATTCCATTCACCAGACTCAGCTGCTCCTTCCTGAGATTACAGAAAAATTGCACTTCTTTCTCAAATGCCTGTTTGCTTAGTAGGACTAGTACAGACCATCAGTAAAACGATAATATGGAAAATGGTTTTAGTGTGCTCCTTTTTACCACACAGTTGTTTCCCATAATCAGAAAATCTGTGTCTTATTGTAAGATGCTGCCACTTGTTTGTCCCAAATCATTCATCATTGATAGAACATATTGGCCAATACTGTAGGCTCTGGAACACTTTCCACTGCCCTTGCAAAAAGGTAATTATCATGAACTATATTCCCTTTATGTACTCTTCTTTTTAAATCTGTGAAATAGTATAACTACTTCAATGGTTTTTTGTGAAGATTAAATGAAAGGATACATTAAAAATACTTAGAACAGAGTCTGGCTGCTTTTAAGTGTCTGATAAAATGCTAGCTATATAATTTTTAACAGCTATTTTTATTCCTCCTTGTTCTTAGCTGTCTTTTTAAATTTTATAAATGAGTAGATAACAAGTGGAAATGGCTTGGCTATTTTTTAAGACAGTGATTCTCAAATTATAGGATACATACAGTTAACCTGGGGAGCTTGTTATAATACAACTTGTTAAGAGGAATTCAAATTAACTAGCTCCACCACCTCCTATAATTCTGATGAGTGAAGCCTGTGGACCACACTTTGAGAAACTGTCCTAGGAGTCAACTTGTAACTGAGGATTTATTCCTGTGCAAAACCTTTAACCCTAAGGAATGAATGTCTATTGGTAGAATTCAGGCCCCAGAGGCAAGTGGTGGTAGCCACAGCAGACTTCTTTGAACTCTGTGCAGTCAACTGCCCTGTTGAGGTTGGTGTTCTTTCTTTCTCTTCTGCTCAACTTTGTCTTCATTTTGTCTTAGAATATTTTGGAACCATTAGGTTACCAATGGCAGTGGGCCAGGCAAGGAAGGGGTGGCATCTCACGAACTATAGTGTCATATCCTTTTGTCAAGAGGTCAAGTTGAAGACCCTTTTTTATTTTGGCTGCTTTATGCTGGAGTCCTAGGTGAATCCTTAAGAAAGGACTCCCTTAAAAAAATTAGATTAAATAGATTTGCAAAAGTTTTCCCCCTTACTTTCTTTGTTGCTCGATTTTACTATAGCCTGTGTATTTTATAGTGGGTAAAGGGAGAGTAAAACCTACTTTTAAATGCAGAAGGGAAAAAAAAAAGGATCTTAACACCAAAACTGAAAGATTTTCTTTAGGAGAGCTGGGGCAGGGGATGCAGTTCAATAATCCTGGGGGACAAAGTATTATCCCTACTGCCTTAAGTTCTGTCTAGTATGAAATGTGAAAGAGCATCAGAGCCTTGGGGAAGTTTAAGTAACAGGAATGCCATCCACCTGTGAGAAGGAAATTTTTTTCCAGGACTTTATTCCAAATACACTGACTAGTTTACAAAAACAATCTTAAATCTAAAGACCCCTGTCTCACTGTGTATCCCTTGCCATCCCCTCTCCCCAAGTCCTCAAGGCCACATCCTGGGAACCTGCAGGGAGGATAAAAGGGACGCTGAAGATATTTTCTCAGCTTTCAGGTCCCAGGCCAGGAATAATTTAATTGATAGTTTTCACTGTCGTAGAAAGTGCCAGTGAGTTAACTCCCATCTGTTAATATTCTGGCCTTGAGCACTTTATTTAAAAATATTTATTTATTTATTTGACTGTGTCAGGTCTTAAGTGAGGCACATGGACTCAGTAGTTTCCCCACAGCGTGTGGAATCTTCCCAGACCAGGGATTGAACCCACTTCCTTGCATTGGAAGGCGGATGCCTAACCTCTGGACCACCAGGAAGTCCCTGGCCTTAAGCATTTTAGCTAAAGCTCTTTATGTTGTGAAAAAAGATTTCATATCTAGAATGGAGTGTATTCCATTCCTTTTGGGCTTCCGGTATATGAGTCACTTGGATTAACCCCTTAAAGTGGACTTAGGGGTTGGTTAGTTGTTAGGAGTGCTACTGCATAACCGCGATTTACGAAGACCCTTAAGGATCTTGGCTGTTATTCTGACTTAAGAAGATAATATAAGTAAAGGATTTAGGAAATATGTTCTCAGGTCTCAACAGAAAGGACTCTGAAACCTTTTTCATTATTTTCTGTGCTCAAAATATCAGAGGAAACGAGAAATGATGCCATGCTGTGTGCTGCGGATACTCTCAGGGTTTCCCAAGCCTGATTTCTGAGGCATATGGCTTTGTGGTTAGACAGATCTCGGTTTAAATTCTGGCTCTGCCACTGCTAGCTGTGTGACCTTGGACAAGTTACATAATTTTTCTCAGCCTTAGTTTTCCATTTATAAAAAAAAAAAAGATCTGTTAGGAAGTTATGTCAGGAGGGTGTGTTAAGAGGATAGCATAGAATGAAGTATAGTGTATACTGTACTTAATACAATGCTTAGCACATAGATGGTACCCAATAACAGTGACTCTTCACGGTTCCCAAGCTGAATTCTAACAATCCAGAGAAGCATGCCAGCTCGGGGACTGCTTCAGACACACCGGTTGTGGAGACAGCAGTAGGGAAACATTTTATCCCAATAGTGCTGGTCTCAGCTGCTCTTTTTCTGATTAATTTTAAAAAACAACATTTCCTCTCATCTGGGTTTGTGTCTTGCTTCTAGGGAGATCAAAGAAGAGGGAAAAATTATTGTGGAAGTTAATGGCAAAGTGGCAAAAATCAGGAATTTAAAGGTAAGCCTGAAATTGTTTTCCTTTTTCTTTTCCCTGAAGAGCTAGTATTAATTACAGTGACTTCTGGGGTGAAGGTGTGTATGTAAATACATTTAGAGAGGGGGAATGGAAGAGGAAAGGGCACATAAGGGGAATTGTGGGAAGAGCTTTGACCAACCACAAAGCAAATATAAAAATATAACAGGGAAGAAGTTCCAGGGATGTAGTTATTGCAACCCAAGTTTTACCAGATGGGGTACAGCTATTTTGGAAACTGGCCAATAGTAGATATTTTTTTTCTTTTTTTAGTAGTAGATATTTTGAAAGTAAACACATGGCCAGCTTAAATCATGTTGGGGGACAATTCGTGCATATGTTTAACTCACCTGACCTCCTATTAGACTTTGGCTCAATCCTCTTATTGGATATCACTTCATCGAGAAGCATTAGCAGGGGTTTTAGCATTCATCTGCTAATACAGAACTCATTTTTAGCCATAGTGAGGCTAAGTAAAGACTTTAGATCCCAGAAGAGAGTTGGGCAGTAGCCCAAGTCTTGCTGTAAATATTCTTCCATAGATCTGACTGATCTTTGAGTCACAACTGGCAGCTTCCTTCCCCACACTTACTACTTCCTTTGGCTTATTTCCTCCATCCCATTCTTCCTTTTCCCAGGCCAGGGGAAGTAGAAGGGATTCTTTCTTTCTGAGCCTTGAGGAGTGGAGGACAGGGAAGCCAGCCATGTGAATGCCACTGTGGTCAGCTTGCAGGTGGTACTTGACACTCCTGAGAGCTGAGGAAGCTGACTTGCAGGAGGAGGGTTTTCTGGACCCCAGTCCCCCCAGCCACATCCACTCTTGTGTTCCTCCCATGATGTGATCCATTTCCTTTTGTCAGTAGCTCCCTGCTGAGAGAGAAACCTGTCAGACTTTATACAGGAGCTCCCCGGGGACAAAAGACCTTTCGTTTTCTCCTGTCTCTTATTTATATCTCTGTTGCCTAATCACTTCAGCTGCTTTGTTCTGAGAGCTTATATTTTTGGTTCTTAAGAATAAATCCTGGCCAAGATGACACTCTAATCTGCCCCCTGCTCACCTTGCTGGCAAGCTATCCTCTTTTCTGAGTCCAGTTATCCACTCAGAATCTCTTCATCATCCTGTCAGCCTCATTCTACTGTGGGTTTTAGTACCCAGTTCAAGGGATTGTTTCTCCCTGTCCAGAATCTAAATATTAAGTAATAAGATAGGCATTTCTGTGAATAATGTCGCTCTCCCCAGTACCTGGAGGTTGGTACAATTCCAAGCTGTGGCTCTGCCCTCTTCTACACGGAGCAGTTGGATTGGGCCCAGCTCTTCTGTCCAACATGCTCTCTGGGGGTGAATACCCCAGGGACTTCTGTGAAAGCTCTAGGTTGACAGAGCCTGTCAGGCCCTGTCAGTAATTCAGGGACTGAATTACTCATGCACCACTGGTATATTCTATAGAAATACTCAGAGAAGAAATGATAGTAAGAAGAAGAGGCCCAGGGAAGGAGAGGTTTTTTTCTCCCAAGTGGTCTTACACCTCACAGGGCTGGTTTGTATGTAGATATGTGATAATATGATAGACATTTAATTCTCTGGTGCTTCATTGTATCTAACAAGATGAAGACAAAGGTTACTTTTTTCCCCCTTTTCATGTAGATATCATAAAGGTTCTCATGATCAGTCCAGGTATCTCTATCTACAAGCAGAGGAATCAAATGCCTCTGCTTTGATTCTGATATTACAGTAGAGAAGGTACTAGATCCTGTGTTTAATTTTAGGTGGACAGTCGACCTAATGGCTTTGGCGACTCCCGAGAGAAGGTTGTGGCGTTTGGCTTTGATTACTGCTACTGGTCAGTCAACCCAGAGGATCCCCAGTATGCATCTCAGGATGTGGTAATGTCATTTTCCTTCACTTTCTCAAGGTCTTTATAACTGGATAATCATTGGGAAATTAACATGGAATCTGGGCCCTGGCTATTTCTTACTTATGATAGGTTGGTCGGAAACTAATGATGTTTTGGTCTGGGAAGTGTTATCTGCAGAAGATCTGCTGAGGACTGAGAGGATGAACTAAGCCTTTGCTGGCTAATGCTGTTGGTCATCCTTCCTGCTGCTTAGCTTTCCTACAAATTTCTAAGGCAGCAGGTCTGGTCAAGGGGGTCTTCATAGGACTTCTGTTTCTGTGAAGCAGCAGCATTGTCCTGGTTGGAGCACTGTCAGAGGTCATGCATTTGGTCCCTGAGATGGCCAGCAAGCCTTGCCTGATTCACTTCTGTGACCACAGACAGTAGCTCTTATCCTAGCAGCCACCAGGGTCCTTTCTAAAATTAGAAAAATAATTTCTTTGGCTTTTCATATGTTCTTTCTTACATGAGAAAGAGAATACTAGAGGAATATATCCTTAGGAAAAAGTATTGAAAATGGATATATTTGGGGAGGAGCCCTAGACAACCCTTGCCTATCAGTCTATATACCTTTGAATAAAAAGCCAAAGCGTGTTTTCTGCTAAATATTTCAGTCCTTTGTGAAACTTTCCTTAATTATGCTAAAGAAACCGTGTTATCAAGTTTAAGTGATTTAGAGGACAGCCGACCTCATTTTGTGAAATTTGGTTTTATTGCACCTAATAGATACTGCGTTATTTACAAATTGACTATTTGTGGCAACTCTGTATCGAGTAAGTCTGTCTGTGCCATTTTTCTTTTTTTTGTTTTTTTTTGTGTGCCATTTTTCATAGCATTTGTTCACCTCGTGTCTCTGTGTGACATTTTGGTAATTCTCATAATATTTAAATTTTTAAATTATTATTCCATTTTTATGGTTATCTCTGGTCATGTCACCACTATGACTCACTGAAGGCTCAGATGATGGTTAGCATTTTTTAGTCTTAAAGAATTTTCTAGTGCTTGCTTCGGCAGCACATATGCTAAAATTGGAACGATACAGAGAAGATTCGCATGGCCCCTGCGCAAGGATGACATGCAAATTCGTGAAGCGTTCCATATTTTTAAGCTAAAAAAAAAAGAATTTTCTAATTAAGATTTGTTCATTGTTTATAAACATACTGTTATTGCACTTAGTAGACGGCAATATGTGTAAATATGTGTTTGGTATGCACTTGGAAACCAAAAAATTCATGTGACTGCCTTTGTTGCAATTATTCACTTTATTATGTTGGTCTGGAGCCAGACCTGTAACATCTCTGAGGTCTACTGGTACTGATTTTTCTGCTAGTGCAGACTTCTGAAGATGATTGGATAGTTCTAAACCATGGAAGTGTAATTCCCTATCCTTCCCTTTTGAGGGGACCATGTGGAAACAAGACCCTAGACCACTGTGGGATTTGTTATTTTTATTGGTCCCTTCTGTTATAATATGAGCACCTCACTTTTGTAGTCACAGTTTATTTGTCATAAATGCTTAGCAGGTGCAGTGTGGGTATTACCTGGCCCTGACAAAGTCTTCTCTGTCCTTTAGAGGATGAGGGCTCTTGCAGATCCAGGCTTGTCTTGTGACCCTGGAACTTTATCCCAATACTCAAGTGTGTATGAGGTAACTGGTTTGCTGGTGTTCATATTGTTCCACTGAGATCCTCCAAGAAGAGTCAGGAAAGGAACTGACTCTTAAATAAGAGGATGGTACTCCTAAAGCAGTTCACAATTGTGACTGTATCTGTGACATCGAAGACAGTGGTCTCTAGAAGAAAGTGTGAGCATTCCAGTGGCTCCTTCTGTTCTTGGCCATAGCATACCTAGGACTGTTCTGTACATAAGAAACATTAACTATTTTGTGTAACATTTGATAGATAATCTGGGAAGTATATGTAAACAAAACAAAAACCACCATTTAGTGTACAGTGTACAGGTATAATTTTGTTTTGAGTCTCATATATTGTATTTATGTAGCTTAAGTGTGTAAAAATTATCTAGTGGAAACCCAGAAGCCCATCAGTTCAGTTCAGCTCAGTCGTGTCCGACTCTTTATGACCCCATGAATCTCAGCACCCCAGGCCTCCCTGTCCATCACAAACTCCCGGAGTTTACTCAAACTCATGCCCATTGAGTCGGTGATGCCATCCAGCCATCTCATAGAGGAGGGGAATTCATAAATATGATTCCTTTTCTGTTGCCTGATTTGAAATTCAGTGGAAAGATCAAATGGGATTTGGACAGGAAGCCTGTGCAGAGAGATAAAACCAGTGCCTCCTAAAATTTATTCTGGCTTGTTTACTAAAAGTCTAAGGCATTCATTGGGTAGTATATGAGAGGGAAGGAAGGGAATCTCTGTCACAGGCTGGAGAAGGGCCAGAGTTTCCAGAATGTTGTCAACACTCAGTTCCACCTGATTTGTTTGGAGGGACTCATCTCTGACAGAAATTGGAGCCCAGACTTTTAACGCTAGTCAGTATGGCTCTGAGGTTACCAGGGTTAAGAGAGGCAGATTGTTATAAAATAGGACTTGGCATAGGAAAGAATTTATATGTCATCTGGTTCTTCCTCTCCCAAAATACAGCAATCCTTTCTACTGTCTTTCTGATCATATTTTGGGGGACGGGGGAGGGGTGGCAAGAGGCCAGTCTTACTGAAGTATAATTTTGATATAAGTCACCGTTTAGTATACAGTGTATAGTTCTATGAGTTTTGTCAAGCACATATAATTGTACAGCTTACACTATAATAAGTATATAAAATAGTGTATCATCCCCCAAATCTTCCATGTCTCTTTGTAGTCAATCTGTTCTCCCCCTGGAAATGTTTTCTTCCCTACAGTTTTATCTGCTTCATAATGCTATATAAGTGTAATATAATAGTAGGTAGCCTTTTGAGTCTGGCTTGCTTCACTTAGCCTGATGTATTGAATACTTGAGATTCACCTCTGCTGTGGTTTGTAATCTGACCTTGATTCAGACTCATGTAAATAATTTTCTTGCCCCGAAAGAATCTTATGGCTTTGAAAACATTGATTCTAACTGCAAAGGGTGAGGCACCAAGTCCCTGGAGGATTGTTCCTCCTTTTTTGAAGGAAGGACTGTCATCACCCTCAGAAATACAGCACTGATTCCAAAATACCCAGATATCTGAGTTGAAATTTTCCCTACTGGTCTTAGGGGGATTTTGAGCAACATCATAAATCATTGCATGACAGATGTTTATGAAAAGTCACCTATTTAGTGTTGGTGCTGTCTCCTGCTCATGGTCTTTTAGAGTGTTAGAGCTTGAAGGGAACCCAGCAGTCATCCAGGCCAGGCTTTCCCAACCTCAGCACTATTGATATTCTGGCTGTGTAATTCTTAGTTGTGAGGAAATCTGTCCTGGGCACTGTAGGATCTTTAGCAGTGTTGCTGGCCTCTATTCTCTAGATGCTGGTAGTAGTCCCAATTATGACAATCAAACATGTTTTCAGACAAGGCCCAGCTTCTAGGCCAACCCTTTTATGTTCCAGATACAATGTATAACTAACATAGGCTTATACAGGCAGTTAATGCCCAAGCAGGACTAGACCCTTGCTTACTGTGGTGGCTTTTGCATTGCATTGTGTTTATGCTTTGTTACAGCCTCAAAAAATAAGTTCAAGATTAAAATTCCTTAGTGCTTTAGTACTTTCTAGTCCTTAATGGTGACTCACTTAAACACATAGTTCAGGTGTCTACAAACATGAGCCTGTAGAGAGCAAGTCAGCTGCTTCTGCTGAGAGGCAGCTTCCTTGTTAATCACCTGCAGATCCTAAATGTTTATCATTTCATTTGACTCTCCCCAAAGTCTTTCAAACATATATTTTTACTCCGTTTTATAGATAAGGAAACTGAGGCATGAAAGGTTACAAGGCTTGCTTGAGTCACTTAGCCAGTAAATAAGTAGTGAAGCAAGGATTCAAACCCAAGACAGTCTGACTCTAAATTGTACGTCATGTCCACCAAGCCTCACTGACTCTCAACAATAAACAATTCTCGTTTAGTCTACTAGTGACCTGGTGCTCTCTTTCTACGTATTATCTGTTTCCATCCTTTCAGCAACCTGAAANATGGCAACCCACTCCAGTATTCTTGCCTCGAGAATCCCATGGACAGAGGAGCCTGGTGGGCTACAGTCCATGGGGTTGCAAAGAGTCAGACACGACTGAGCGATTTCACTTCACTTCACTGTGAGGAGGAAAGAAATAATGATGTGAAGTGCTCAGTCTAGGGCTTGGCAACTAGAAGTTGAGTAAATGAGGTCATGAGTGCTGTGGCTTGGGTTGTGATTATCACTATCACAATACAAGAGAGGCAAGGTTCATGCTTCTTTCTAAGAGCTGAACTAGCTTTGAAAATCTCTTCTTTCAATCTGTTGTGCTCACTTCTGGGACCAGCATGCTCCACTTGGAAAATTAACTTCCCTCCCTTCCTCCTGGTCAGGAACATCTGTTGGAGCGGGAGTCCTCTGCTCAGGCATATTGTGTTTGGGTGATTATGTGTTTGTAAAAATTTCCATGAAGAGCATTAGCTCAGCTTTACCCACCAAGGACTGTGAGTGGCTGTCAAAACAAGTGCAGACTGAGTCAACAGAAAGCCAGTCATGAACAAAAAAACCACCCAGCCCTTGTGGGACGTAATTGCTTCTATACTCCTGGGAATCTTTATTTCAAAGTGCTTTTGTTATTTGGCTAAAACACAATGCCTAAAATGCCTGTAGCTTTTCCACATGAAAAATTGTGTGAGTGAGCAGAGATTTCCTCCCCACAACTACCAAATTCAAAACTGAAATTCTAGTAGCACTGTGATTATGTTTGTTGTTGTTTACATGTCCATAATATGCTGAACTTCACACAACACAGAAAGACCATCCATTGCTTACCCTCAAAGAGCCCTGGCAGGGGCCAGGATGGAGGGCAGTGGATGTGTGTGTGTTGATGTG